ATAAAAGCTCCGACGAATTCATAACACGAGGTTGTTTTCAGAAGTTTGGAAACTGAAGAATTTGCCTAAAAAATCATGAGTGTAATGAGTGTTCTGCTTCTGACGAGGACAATGTTTTTATTATATGCAAATGCACATAGAAGAATGCATAGAATGCACTTTTGCAGAATATCACATATCAGGCACATTCAACTTTTCCAAGCATATCAAATTCGATGAGAAAGTTAAAGAAGCATAACCTGTATAATAATGAAATGATTACTCCTTGTTTTGAGGTATCATTCGAGATACCTCTTCATCATGTCGTCTATCTCGACTGTGATGTGCGACAAAAAACAGATTCCCTACGATAATGAGTAACAATAAACATCGCTTATGAATCGGCATGGAGCCTTAGGGCCCATTTCGAAGCTGAAGTTGCAAACAAACTCATTTGGTCAACCTCAGAAGCCTTAGTAGATGGCTATCACATCGAATAATAGAAGAGCACCAACTCATAATTACGGTAAATCGGGAGCAAACGTTACACTACTAGCGATTCAACGGTTAAGCTAACTGTACTGCAGAATTCTGCTTCACATTTGACTGGTGCAACAATAATTGCGGTATCCGAAATCCTAAAACGTCTAAATTACCGCAATTTTTATTGCACCAACCTAACACATCATATCACCAGACCTCTCCGGCTGTAGATCACCGCTTCATCAAGTATCTCAACAAAATCCGTTATTAGAAATGCTTTAAAAAAAACCGATGCTAAAGCAGTTTCAACAACCTCAGCCCTCGAGAAGTTTAGATTTTTACAACAGTAGTGACGAGCAAGCTAATATCTTGTTTGGTAGCTTCGAACAGTTTATTTTTGCTAGTAATATTTATTTGTGAGCTGATTTTTTTTTAGCCAACAGAAAAGTGCGGTATCAAAACCACAAAATATTATTGATTTGAACCTTCAAACCTAATGTAGCCGTTATTCGTATACCCCAACGCCAATCACCAGTTAGTGCTGCAACTGATGAGCCAACGACAAATCCCAATCCACTAAAGAAAAACGAATGTACTAAAAGATCTTCGGAGAATACTAACAAAATGATTACGAATAGTATAATATTGCTTTGCTCCCTTTTAAAATTCTGAATAGATTTTTAGGTATTGCGGCTTATGGAGGAGGCGGTGCAGCAATGGAAGTGCTACAGTGATACGCAGGTTTAGTTCAATTCACGGCCGCACCGTGGGTCAACTAAAGCCGCCTCTCTTTCGTTGTCGGTTAGTTGCTACTAGAGGAATTTGGGTAAGATAACTAGCCCTCACGTGGCAAATAGTGAACAACTCAAGTCACTGTATAGACCAGGCTCTGTAGACCTTGTCATGATGGAAGCAATTTCCAATGACATTTGCTACTTGTTGACTCATTAACAGATTTATAGCTCAATGTTCTTTATAATCTAATTAGAATTAAAATTCTTCACTACTAGGGGCGTACGTCAGCAATTATTGGTTAGTGCTTAAAAGAGGTTTATCTTCCTCGTTATTGTTAGCCGCTTTTATTGTTTACCTCTTCAGTTCTATAAATAGTCGTCAAACTGAGTCAAACTGTTACGCCTACAAAGTTCTACAAATCAAACATAATTTCATTCCTCAGGAGAGTATGAAGAAAAACGAATTGCATAAATTATATGAGTAAAACATAGTTCCTCATAATTTATTCCTCATCATTTCACTCCCTAACTTTGTAAAATTCATACCTTCCACAAGGAATAGCAAAATAGAAATACATCAACATTCGACTTCGTTCTGCTCCAGTAAACAAATCCGCTATGATCGACGGTGAAATCACCACATACGAAGCTTCACCAATTCCAACCAGTCCACGAAAAAACAAAAATGTCCAAAACATCTTAAAAATGACAAACTGATCAATTATTTTTCCCTCATCCAGCCTTTAAAAATCATCTTCCTCATTTCTACCTGGATAAAAACATCTCTGTTTGACAGTAACTTAATCACTAAAGACTAAAGCTTAAATCGCATATTTGTATATCAACTGTTTTTTGTAAGTTCTATTTAGAATTATGCTAATTATTTAGAGGGAACAAAAAAGCCACTAACATTAGCTGGAACGAATGTGGAAGCGAAAACAGCTAATACCCATATAGAAATTCCAAGTATCATAATCCGTTTACGAGAATATCTTAAATGTTTCATTTTCAAAATAAACAAATAAACAAAAAAAAACCAATTTCAGTTAGAATCATGACGTATAATTGATCTACCTATCGCCTAAAAATCCACAAATTGGTGAACAAATCATATAGAATATCATGAAAGTAGTTCGTAAAAGACCACCATTAGCATCATTAATACCATAGAAACTTTGAAGAGTTGTTAATACACCTGAAATACAATTCATCATAAAAATTAGGAGGCAAACTATAAGCTGCGATGAAGGTCATCAATCTCGGTGCGATGTGCTTAATGTGGATATCGAAACGATTCAAAGCGACTATGCTCTATACAACGACATGAAAGAAAGAGCTCATACCGGTCAGCTTTTCAAATTTCTTGGTGCAATCCTATGAGGAAGGTGATTGTGGTAAGCCAAAAGGCGCTCGCGAGCCTACGTGCACTGACTATTGCCAGCGTATCAATACGTTATGTGACCCACACAAGTGGTCAAATGAATGGGTATGAGGAAAGATATTAGCATAATCTATTTGATAAAAGACGCCACATTTGCCTTCATCCGTCTTACACTGGAGAAAACATCTCTGTTTGTTTGTTTGAATGTTATCTATGCAATATACAATAACTTGAAAAGATTATTATGTTGGCAGATCAGTGCTGGTTACTTTTCCAACTCACTCTGTTAGTAGCTGACTGACCCCTGAAGGAAGGCTCGAGTGGCCTGGAGCAGGTCTCGAACTTGCGTCTACAGTACCAAACCCACTTCTCACTTTGGCCTCACCTGGAGTGGATATGGTGAATCTCATTGTTTCCCGACTCAGAACGCAAAATCTATTGATGTCGAACCGAACATGGACAAAAGCAAAACAAAATACCAAAACAACCTCATAAGTTCTTTCTACCACCACTATGTTCTTGAAATCGATATGAGTTGAATTTTAAGACAGCATACCTGCTATTGTATATCTATCCATATAATTAAGTAGATTTACAAGAATTAAAATACTCATATTAAGACGAAGAATAGGTTTCTAAATATAAATGATCAATAAAAGATACACACAATAGAATTGATTCAACAATAAAATCAATCAATATCCAATATAAAAAACGCTTTGGCGTCGTATTTCTGGTCGGCAATCAATCGATAAAGTCAATTCATATCATATTTTTGTTACTATAACAGTAATCGTTGGATATTTAGAATACCTCAACTGGTTTTGATGGATAGTAACTATGATTATTTCTCTTTGATCTCTGCACTAATCAATAGAGGGACGATTATGAAATGTTGAATTCGAATGGAAAAAAAAGCTATGGCTTAAATATTGAAGATCATTTGCACTATCTCAATATGATTGACTGAGGAAATGTAAAGAAGAGGGAAACAAGTATGCAACAAAACAAGGTTTGTTGAGTACCGTCAACTCATTCTGCTTTCCATCAAGTGTTTCCGATGAACGTTCACTTTCACTTCTATCAGAAATTGTATTAATTTCAGCAGTAGACATATCTAAATAGCTAAATTAATTTAAGCAAATCTTAAACTAAATTTCTATTTAATTTCAATCGATTCCTATTAATTACATTACGTTATAATAGCAATGTTTTCAATATCGTACTTGATCAGCGCCAAAAATAAGCTGAACAGTTAGTGGTCACGTAGAAGCATTTGTGTAATGTACCAAACCGAAAATCTAAGACACTCGGATTTGAGTTTCGCCTGAGGCTTGAAGTTTATATGACTTAATCAGCTATTCTGGATATCAACAGAATACTTTCCAACTACTGACAGTATGCAATACACTACCAGTTGATTTCTTGCAAAGCATAAATATATAAGACATTTTTTTTTGGCTTAGAAAATTCTATGCAAATAGCATATCGACCGGTGATTCAACGATGTCGAACCACTCATACAGCACATTTTCTCCAGTACAGCTAAAAAACAGAAGACAAAACTGGACTTTGCAGTTTAAACCTTCTCAATAAATGTTCGAATGTATTTCTCTAGTGAAACCATTGCCTATCTGTTCGTTGCCTATCTGTTCGATATCGTAATCGAAAGCGCACAGGGTGCGATTTCTGAATATCTCTGTTGTTGCAATCATTGATGTTTTTCGACGATCCAAGGTTAACCATTGCGTAATCCACCTCAAGTCGTCATCACCAAAGGGCGCTCGCGCCATTTTCTGGATCAGTACAGGATTCGCCTAGTCACGTTGGCTAGTTAACATGAAAGCTATGGAAATCCTGGTATAAGTCTAATCGTAGCTGGAATGTCGGACGAGAACGTTAGAGCCTTTTCAGGCTAGAAAGGCTTGGAATGAAAGAACTTTCAAAGTGCACCATAATTTGTGGTTGCTGCATCAACTAAGAAGTCTTCTATGAAGTATGGATAAGTCGCAAGGATATGTGATTTGTCCTCAGATCACAGATCGAGATAAATCGACTAGAAGAACCACTCTATATTTCCACTGAGGAATGATTCGAGGACATATTGGCTAGGAACAAAAGGCACATAGTTACGTGTGTTGGCTATTACCTCTTCTAGGAACAACAGGCACTTAGGTACGTGTGTATAAGCTTATCTGTATATTGATTGTGTCCTGCATATTTATTCGACTAAGAACTATTAAAAGCTGAATAGGAAGGAGATTGTTTTATTAATTTTCGTCACATTTTTTTAAACATCACATTATTTAATATTGCTCTACAATTCATTCAAATGCAATAACTTATCTTATTTTTACAATACAACAATTTAACTACCCAGCCACACAAATATTAGAAGTTTAACTAGCAAGAAATAAAACAGATGCGATCGTGCAGAATCCAACTCCGTCGAGTGCTTGCAAAGCATCCATGCTAACCATTAGACCACGAACGCTTCTGATTACAAGAAGCGTCGAACGGCTTAAAACATTCAACAATGGTTTTAAATTAATATCACACAGATGCGCCACCGTATTAGTCTGATCTTCATAATACAAAATGTAACCACTTAGCCTAGCCACCAAAATGTTATAATTTCAAATAGCATTATTGCATTTGAGTGGAATCGAACCACCATCGAATGCTTGAAAAGGATTCACGCTAACCATTACACTACGAACACACCAGCCATCCAGATGTAAGACGATTTGAAATACTTGAGTAATATCGACTATTAAATAGACTTACTATGTTATTCAATGACTAGACGGTAGATCTGAAACTACCGTATAAGGCCTGGATAGGGTAAAAACTGACATTACTACAAAGTGACGTAAGATGATTTGATAATTGTACTTTCTTCACATGATAAACAAAAACATTCTCTTATTCCTGATAAGATTTTTATCAACTATCATAGCTTATAATAATGTTATAATACCCGTAAACTCGAGCCGGCGTGTTGGTGTAGCACCTCCACCATCAAAAAATCAAAATACCATGACGATTATATGGTATACTGTAGTGTTATTTTGACGTTTAGCAATATTGATTACCGTATGCAATAACGTCTCATCTTTATCTCTAAATCATCGGTCCTCTGAGTCAAAATATCGATTTTCACAGCTTAAACCCATGTTCACAAGCAGTGACCGGTTTTCTGATTTTTCGTTGAGATTATGGTAATACATATTTATGGAGCTACAGTAAGACGAGAATCATTTGAAATAATCTACTTATAAAATCTACTAAAGCATAAACCTCCATCAATTTGTTGAGTTTTGTTGACGAGTTCATTTGAGGACAATACGAATGAATAATGTACTTTATACTATACATTTTTTATTGACACAAATTATTATGTACACATAAAAATTGTTATCGATGGCCCGTAGTTTTGAAATCACATTTTTGTTGATTCGTAAAATAAACCATATGATTTCGGTGGGTAGTTGGGTTTTGTTGTTGAGTTAATCGGATATGCAAATGCGTTATTATCTACTCCATTACCATTCGATAATGTTGATGTTGAAGCTTTTTGTAGATGACGATCACTGTACTCAGCGGTTGCACCTATAATGTAATAATATGAAATATCTCGCATCGAATGATTTAAGCGGAAATTTCACAAATTACTTAACAGTAATGCTCTTCCAATAAATTTTCAGGTTGTTCGACATTCTGCAGTAATCCTCAGCAAAGAAAAGCTTCAAACTCGCTAGCACTTTTTCTAGTAACAGATCCTTCAGATATTGGTAGAAAGAGCTCGTTAAGCAACTAATACGACTACAACGTCATCAGTAACACAGAAGACCTCATATGAATAAGGAGAAGAACGATTGACCGTACTCATGATATTATTGAGGTATTCGAATGTGAATAGTCCATATAATGATTTGAGACAATCAGTCATTCAACGGGTCCGTGCTACGTACACTCTTTCAGATTATCCTTTTGAAAATTCATCGACCACTGAGTGTTAGAAACTTCTACTTCCCTAAGGGCTGCCATGTGCCAGGGCATACTTACTCAAGTCTGCTATGACTTTATCCTCTATTACTGCTGTAACTACGCGAAACTCCATTTGTGAATAGAAGAGGTGATTCGGACTCAAGAGCTTTGATGACAATAACGCTAGCTACAAAATAATTAGACTTTATGTAAATGTTCAGCCAGATATAAGCACATGCATCTAGAAAAAGCACATAACTCTTTCCAAGTAGTTTGTTATCGAATTGAATATAATTCCACTGAGGTGAAATGTCGTGAGACAATGCTTTCATCGCAACTTTTCCTGGCCGTCAACTCTTAACTGGATATTTCAATCAATTATGATCCTCCACTATATATATAATGCTTATAAAATCGTCTAATGAGTACCGTTGTTTGAGAGAAAAGCTAAACTTCTACTTTCTCAATAGAGGAAATGCACCCTACAGACCTTGGCTATAGTGGATAAAGCAGATTTCCCAATGTATAAATATATGAAGTGAATAATTGAAAGAGTTGAGTTAACCAGTTATTTTTGATGCGATGATGCCTCACAATCTTAAGAAGAGGAGAAGTTTTGTGCAATAAAATACCTCATATATAACTACAACAGTCAAAAAGTCTAATTTTGACCTCCTCCAAGCATACACTCATGTTGCTACATGTTCGCCCCTGAGTAGTGCAAATAGGAGTCTATGATATGAATGACAAAAAAAATAACTCCTATACTATAATTGGTGAGTTGAACAAATTAACTCGTTATCATTTTATGAATAAATAAAAATAATATAAATATTATATGAAAAATATTGATAAAACACTAACCCATTTCATTCTTAAAGATCTTATGATCTCTAAGGAACGTATAGGCGGCGATGAAGAATAAAATACTGCTTAGTACAAGTAATACGTTAGGAAGATAAAATGATAATATCAGTGAGTTAAAATGACCATAGGGCGATTCATCATCACCACGAATCGCATCCGAAATCTAAAAGACGTCGTTGAACATTATATGAATTGTGCATAAATGAAAATTCATCCTATACATACACTATATGAGCCACCTCTTTGAGGTCTACAGTAGTTTTATGATAAACTCACCTATGGAGGATGTCACAATAAAAATCATCATTAACTTTATTAAACGAAACACACCTATAGAAAAGGGGAAGACGAATTTTTTTTTATTCTCAGGTTTGTCTATAAATCCTAATTAATTCCACAGAAAAAAAAACAACAAATGTAAATATTATGGTAAATTTGAGAGGAAAAGAGAAACTCGCTGTGATTACAAACTCAAAATAAACTTTAAGCTTTCTAAAGAAAAAAGTCTTAAAATTTCTTGATAAGATTATTGTTTTTATCTAAAAGTTCAAATCTTAGAAAATTCATTACAGTAATACCGTACAGTAGATTAGAAAATCCATTACGGTAATACCGTAACGAGGCTGCAAAGACCACAGCGGTAAGGTCAGCATACGGTAGGACATTTAACGAATTCTCGAATATTGGCTATTTATCATAAACAACAAAATCATCAACAGAAACAACAGTGGTAGTGGGTTTGTCGATCAAGAATGAAACGCTTCTTTAAGATTAAGCTTCTAGCCGGCTTTTTTTTTCATGAAGAAAAATAAACTTTGTGGATACCGTAGAACTTACCATCCCTAGAATATACGGCCCTGATGCGTCACCGAAAAGATGTGATATTAGAATTTGCCAAGAATTTGCTGTGCTCCGTCGATTTGGTATCACAACATCCTAGAGAAAATCTTCCACTTAAGAAAAATCATAAAAGAAAATCTAGAAAAGTAAAGTAAACAAAACAAATTACTATTATAAGGACTCTTTTATGTAGCCGCTACTGTTTACTAGAGTTAAAAAAATCGATATTACATAAGAAATACATAAGGAATACATGAGGAAATTTTAAACTCTCACCATTAACATATCGACATTAGTAGCCCAATTGAAGCACATTGAGGTGATACAAACAAACATCAATACCTTCAAAATCTATTTTAAAAAATATCAAAAATTTTTGAAAAAACAAAGTTATATGTCTCGTCTATACATAGACTTGAGGTCATCACTGTCCTCAATCTCGATGCCGTTTATCTTCAGAGATTTCTATGGTGTTGTATTTATAGAACTCAGCGGTATCATAAGCTATATGATCTACGTTGGTTTGAGCACGAACGCACATAGCAACGTCCCCCATATCTATTCCTCTATACGTTCCCATATTACAAAATATATGAATTACTCAAATGCTACAAAGAAATTCTACTTGATTTCCTCACCCATGCTACTGTCATACTCTTCGGAATCTCATGCAGTGAAAAATATAGCGTAGGAACTCCAATGAGAGCTCCGACACCACAAATAATCGCATCCGAACGAATGGTTCTCACGTAACGAAACGGACCAACACCGTTATGCAACCACTAAACAGATGATAGTACTGAAAAGCATTACAAAGCATTACAAAGAAACAATTTTTGTCGGCCTTGTTTCACTTTCACTGTTGTTCATTTTAGAACTTCCACAAAAAAAGGACTACGTACTTCTGACAGAATGGATCCAATTGCAACACCAGCTATACCACCAACACACGTAACAGTACCAAAAATCAAGTTCACGCTGAAATAATCAATATGGATTTGCTTCTAAAAATCCTTAACAAAATATTCTAGAATTAAAGCCTATGATAGGACAAGACGAGAAAAGCTTTTGCGTTGATCAGTCCCTATTGCAGGATGTACCTAGTCATTTGAGTTCCACATCATATCGCAAAGCTTATTAAACGCGAGCCTTATCTATAAAGTGACTTGAGTTTATCACTGTTTACCAAGTCAGTGTTAGTTATCTTACTCATAATGCTCTGGCACCAATTTATCGACTCCGGAAGGATGGCTGGCTTGATAGGCCTGGGGGTAACCATGAACTGATGGGCCTGCGTGTCATTGTGACACTTTCTCACTGCATTACACGCTCCTAAAATCTGTCATATCTACCCTAACAGCAGAAACAATAACTCGAAATTCTACAATTAAAGTTCATAGTTTTTACTTTTCTACTTTCAAGTCCACTGAGAAAATTTTTGTTGAAATTTGTTTTGTCCAGATTGAACAGTTACGATCCTTCTACATAACCTTATACTTGCTTGGTTATCACATAATCAAGAACCAGTGCAGATTTAATTTTCATTAATACAAGCCACTTTTACATAAACGCCAGCCTATGAAAATTTAGAATACTTTGACAGCATCATGACTCATGAACGAGTTCTAAGAGGCAAAAAAAAATATTGAAATGTTTACACACTTCACTTACTGTGCTTTTGTTTCTGGATTTAATTGATCAGTGCTGTTGATTCCATTCCTGTAGGCGTAGTTGTGTTGAATCGCAGTTGGTGCCCACCATGTTAATGTACCAACCACGAAAACGATACTTGTATATCCAGCTGTTGAGATCATATACGTAGCGCTGAAGCACTAATAGACTAATTTCTTCCTCTAATAATTCAAAGTGATTGTATAATTCTGCAGTTATGAGGTTGATCGTCTACCTCATCAATTTATTTATACTGCAACGAAAACATAATTATTAGGATGAAATTAGACGAGGGTTTCTGCTTGACCCCTGCAGGATCTTCCATGTATTCCACGTTATTATGAGATGGAGATG